AAAAAAAAAAAAAAAAACTGAAAAAAATGTAACCCAAATCAAAATTATTACCTTCCCTTGAAAAGCGTTAAGTGCAGCATCAGCATCGGCCTTAGAGTTGAACGAGACAAAGCCATAACCAGCGGGCCGTCTAGGATTATCGTGGTATATAATCTCGGCAAAAACAACATTCGCATTATTGGCATTGAAGAAATCCTTCAGCTCCTGCGAGCTCGCCCCGAAAGGTAAATTCGCCACAAACAAGTTGTGGACTGGCATTGGCTTGGCCTGTGGTGGAGTCGTAGCCTTCGTTTTCTTCAGTTTAGCCCAATTAAGCTTCAAAACTCTACCCTCAAATTCCTATAGTTCAGAGTAATTACAGAGTTAACTGAAACATGCAATAAATTTACTTTCCTTTCGAGAATTTTTGTAATTGGGATAGCTTACAGTGGATTCCAGATTACTTAAAGCAGCAGCTGCTTCTTCCTCCGAAGCCATGGATACAAAAGCCAGGCCTCTGTTTCTAGATTTGTTATACATTGAAAGCTAACAAAACGAAATGCCACCAGAAAAGAAAAGCCCAATCACAATATTATCCCCAAACGCCATACAAGAGTAATTCGACATCAATACACGAAGAGGAGATCAAAATCTCACCTCAATGTCGACAACAGTGCCGTATTTCTCGAACAGCGGGCGGATATCGTCTCCGGTGGACGTCCACGGGACGTTCTGGACCAGCAGCCGCGTCTTCGAAAATACATCTTCTTCTGCGATGTTTTCCTCGGATTGAACGATTGGCTGAGCTTGGGCTTGCGATTGGGAGTGTACAAGGTAAAGACGAAGCCTGGGAATCCGGGGCTTCGTATTGAGAGGAAGGAGATAAGGGTTCGGCGGGAGGAAGTGGTGGTGGGTGTGGGAGGAGGCTGAGATGGTTGTCCGGAATTGTACGAGACGACATGCCGCCATTGTTGGTGAATCCAGAGCAATGTGGTGGATGGATAGGGAAACAAAATTGAGCAAGGATAAAATGCGTAGTTTTTCTTTATTTTATTTTTTTACTATTATTTATTTATTTATTTCTCTAAAATGCTATAAGACTCTTATAGGTGGCCAATTGCCGGGCCGCAACCAGACCCGGTCTGGGTCCGGCCTGCCGGGTCGGCAGGCCTCAATATCATGACTCGTGGCTGGTCCGAAATAAACTATATGGACCGGCCATGAATCGTCGGTTCACTGACTCGGCGGGTTTTGAGCGGTTCTGGGCCGGTACGACCCTTGAAAAAATAATAATAACACTGTGGCCCGTCATTCAATTCGCGGCCCGACCTAGACCGGCGGGTAAAAAAAATATGAATCGAGACCGAACCGCGACCCTAAGGGTCCGGTTCAGTGTCGTTTTGGGCCGAGACTGATTCACGGGCTGATTCAGCTCGTGGACATGTCTATATAAGAGCATCTTTAACTGTAGCTTTTAGAGGAGGTTTCCAAAATTACTTTCAAAGCTTTACCATTATTAAATTGCACAGTTTTGTGGTTTATAAAATTTGGTGTGGCTCGCTTTACCTTAAACTAGAATTCGATTATG